ATTCTGATGGAGAAGAAAAGGAATAGAAAAATCAAAAAGGATTCATAAAATTCTGATAAAATGAACCTTGAAAGCAGGTAAGTCTTCATCTAGGGAGATGGCACACAGGATGAGGACATATGAAAAAGTTAGACTGGAGGTATTCAAGACTGATTTCTAGTTACCAATGAATCTAGAGGACAGTTCTTTTTAAAAAAGTGGTAGGCTTACAGGAAAATTTCAGAGGATTAAGGAATGAGTGGGTGGTATGATATTAGAGCCAGAAGTCAGATTAATACTAAGACACGGAGAGACAGAGAAAAGACTAAGAGACATGGAGAAGACCAAGAAGAGACATTAAGGAGAGACCAAGAGACAGAACAGATAGCCTGAGAGATAGTGAAGCAGAGAGACTGAGAGACAGCAAGAGATGCTGAGAAGGAAGAGTGAGAAGAACAAAGTCAGAGACAGAAAAAGACAAAAGAACACATACATGAAAGAGAAAGTAAAAGTATAATCATTTTGTTGGTATTGGGTAATGAGGCTTTGTAAAGAAGGTCTACAAAGAAAAAAGAAGCTAACTGAGAGGGAAAAAGGAAGACATCAAGAGAGAAGACTAATGTGACTAATGAAGCATCATTCCAGAAAAGGTGGGGAGGGAGGGTTCAGGGAAACAACGAGTCAAGACTCACAAGGCTCTTTAAAATAAAAAGTAAGAATGCTGAGGGGCACCTGGGTGGCTCAGTGGGTTAAGTGTCTGCTCAGGTCATGACCTCAGGGTCCTAGAACTGAGCCCCACATCAGGCTCCCTGCTCAGTGGGGAGTCTGCTTATCCCTCTCCCTCTCCCCCTCCCCCCTTGCTCATGCTCTCTCTCACACGCTATCTCTCCCTCTCACTCTCTTAAATAAAATCTTTTTTAAAAAAGAATGCTGAGGGACGCCTGGGTGGCCCAGTCGGTTAAGCGTCTGCCTGGGGCTCAGGTCATGATCTCAGGGTCCGGGAATCGAGTCCCACATCAGGCTCCTTGCTTAGCAGGGAACCTGCTTCTCCCTCTGCCTGCCACTTCCCCTACTTGTGTGCTCTCTCTCTCTCTCTTTCTCTGATAAATAAATAAAAATCTTTAAAAAAAAATGCTAAAAAAAACACAATAAATATGCATTAATCAAGATAAATAATAAAGGAAAGGTCATATGCTGCAATCCAATGGAACATTATTAACCAAAGAAAAACCTCAAAAAATATTTCCTAAAAAAAAAAAAAAATCAAAGCAATCAATATCAACTTATCACATTTGCAGCCTTAGATTTCAACTGTCTGCTTAACCATCCACAATTCTCTGATTGTGCGTCTATCTCATCACTCAGCTATTCAAAGTGAGTGTTGGATTCACCAAACACTTCCTTCTCCCTTATCCCCCACATCCAGCCATTCTTCAGATAGCAGCAAAAGTGATTTTTTTCCCTATTATCTTTTAAACTGAGATATAATTGACATATAACATTATATTAGTTTCAGGAGTACAACATAATGATTTGATGTTTTTATACACTGCAAAATGACCTCCACAATAAATCTAGTTAACATCCATCACTATACAGACTTACAAATTTTTTTCTTGTGATGGTAACTTTTACTCTTTCAGCAACTTTCAAATATACAATATAGCATTTTAAATTATAATCATCATTCTGTACATTACATCCCCCAGACTTATAACTGAGAGTTTGTACCTTTTGACACCTGTCACCCATGCTCATCTCCCACCCTCTCTCTCTGGCATCCACCTATTGTCCATAAGCTATGACTTTAATTTTTTTTGGAATCCACATATAAGCCAGATCATAAAGTATTTATCTTTCTCTGACTTATTTCACTTAGCATAATGCCCTCAAGGTTTATCCATGTTGTCACAAATGGCAAGAGTTCCTTCGTTTTTTATGGCTGAAGAATATTCCGTTGTATATACACTCCACATTTTCTTTATCCATTCATCCACTGATGGAAACTGGTTGCTTTCATGTCTTGACTATTGTAAATAATGCTGCAATAAATATGGGGGTGAATTTACCTGTTTTAGTGTTTTCATTTTCTTTGGATAAATATCCAATAGTGGAACTGCTGGATCACATGGTAGTTCTATTTTTAATTTTTTGAAGATCCCCCCATACTGTTTCCCATAGTGACTGCACCAATTTACATTCCCATAAACCAGGCACAAGGGTTCCTTTTTCTCTACACCCTCAACAACACTTGTTATTTCTTGTCTTTTTAATAATAGCCATTCTGACAGGTGTTAGGTGATACCTCACTGTGGTTTTGATTGGCATTTCCCTGATGATTAGTGATGCTGAGCACCTTTTCATATACTATTGGCCACTTGTATGTCTTATTTGGAAAAATGTCTATACAAATCTTCTGTCCATTTTTTAATTGCACTTGTTTGGGGTTTTTTGTTTTGTTTTGCTATTGAGTTCTTTTTTTTTAATTAATTAATTTATTTATTTACTTATTTATGAGAAAGAGAAAGGGCATGAGCAGGGGCAGAGGCAGAGGGAGAAGCAGACTCCCCACTGAGCAGGGAGCCTGACACAGGGTTCCATCCCAGGATCCTGGGATCATGACCTGAGCGGAAGGCAGCTACTGAACCGACTGAGCCCCACCAACACCCCCTCAAGTGCCCCTGCTATTCAGTTCTTTATATTTTTTGGATATTAACCCCTTATTGGATATATGCTTTGTAAATATTTTCTCCCATCGATAGGAATTTTATGCTCTCAGGTCTTACGTTCAAGTCTTTAATCCATCTGGAGTCAGTTTTTGTGTATGGTTTTAGATAGTGGTCTAATTACATTCTTTTGTATGTGACTGTGTCCAGTTTTCCCAACATGTGTTGAAGAGACTATCCTTTCTCCATTATATATTCTTGGCTCCTTTGTCATAGAGTAACTGATCATATATGCATGGGTTTATTTCTGGGCTCTCTACCAAACTGATTTTTGGAAAGGTAAACAAGATCCCTTCAGTGGCCTCCTTCTGTATTTAGGATATAATCTCAAACTTCTAACCCAGAGACTGATAAGGCTCTAAATTCTCTGACTCCTGCTCTCTCTCTCCAATTTCATCTCTAGCTACTTTACATACTACTTACTATCAATCCAGCCAGACTGGTGTTCTTCTAGTTGTTTCAATTCACCAAGCTTCCAAGTCACTTTGTGCACTGCATTTGCAAGTCCTGCTACCAGGAATACTCATCCCCCATTCCATGTCTTCTGTTTCTTCAAATCTCAGCTTGAATTTCACTTCCTCAATGAGACTTTCCTTAATATCCCTACATACAAACTGATGAAAACTAGGTTCCTTCCTATGGAATCTCGTAAGCACTCTGTGTGTTTCATTCACAGCATTTAATCATAATTTGGTATTATTGGTGTACTTTTTTGTTCAATGCCTAACTCCCCTAGAAGAAGGGTACCTTATTGTAGGCACCAAGAGGAGAGAAACGGCTAAATCTCCAAGTGCCTTGTACCTGGAGATACTTAGTTATTTATACAAGTAAACAACACTTTAAGAACATTCTGCTTTTTTCTAAAAGACTGAAAAAAAGTATGCGAAGAATGGCTAAGAAATCTAAACAAAGCACCATCTCCAGAAAACTGAGCAATGTGTTAGTAATTAGAAGGGACATTATAAAACTTGACAATCAAAGTAACTCAAAAATTAGTCAAGTTCCTATTATATACCACTGTAGTTGATGCTGAAGATGCAGTTATAAATATAACAATAGACTATGCCCAATATATCACAATTGTTTAAGAACACAAAACCTCAAATATAAACTCCTAAAAGTCTCAAAAAATAAGTATTTGTTTGCTTTAACAGACAATTCTATTGGCAGGAAAAGCTTTCCCAAAGTATTCTGTTTTCAGTTGTTTACCAAAATGTTAGTGAAAATTATTAATTTAGAGAAAGGGAGAAAACACTATTCCAAGCTTCAATTTCCAGAGTATATAGATCTAGGGGAATGAGTCTTTATGCCAGAAAATATAGTAACAGTAGCAGCAGCAAAGATAATGACAATCACCTAGGTTTTTGTGAAAGTTAGTAAAGGGAGTCTGGAGGTTCTGCAGGGGTAGCTCTCATTGCCCTACTCATAGCTAATTGCAGACCCAACAGGAAAAGAAAGACTTGACCTTACAAGGACCTGACCTTGCACATGGATACTACTCTACTATTCCAGCTGAGGAACAGACGCTTTTTCATTTCACCCCCAGTACTGCCCTCCTTAGCAGCTCCACCAATGAGAAGCCATGACACTTCAAGCTCCTCAGTTTACCCCAGTGGACTTTAAGTTCCTACCAGCCTACCCTTTTTCTCCTTAAAAAAGCACATCTCTCCTTTGTTCTTTCCGACTTGTCTATGGTTTTGCCACAGCTTGTTTGTCCTGGATTGCAATTCTTTTTTATTCCCAAATAAACCCATTTTTGGCTGGTAAAATAACTGGCATGTCTATTTTTAAGGTTAACATTTCCTTGGACAACCAAGTGAACGTCCATGTATTACTGCTAAACTAGTCATAATATATTTCAAAATATGACAGTGAAAGTTAACAAAATAGATGCTCTTTTTACACTGTAAAGCAGGGGGACTAAGGGCTAGAGATTTAACTTGCTTTGCTCCTTCAAATAATTTCATCTCTCCAGGTTACACTTTCCACAACTGTAAGATGAGAGGTTTGGGCCATATCCTCTATAAGGATCCCTAAAGCTCTAGTCATACCTGACAATACAATTATGTAGGAAAATAAATATGAAACTAAAATGCTCCCTGGTGCTAGAATGGTAGCAAATAAAGCAAGTGTTTTTCCTTTAAAAATTTTCAAAGTCAAGGTTCTAAATTTTGTAAACATGATAAAGATGTTTTGTACTGACAAACAAAAGTGCCATAATTGAAATTTTACTCATTCTTTCTTGAATTAAAACATTTGACATTAAATTTCAACCAAATCAATTATGATGCTCACCGATACTGATATGTCCTCATTTTTTCTCTTAACACTGGAGTCAAACAAGACATTTCTTCCTCGTCTTTCACAGTCTTGATATACAATCAGTCGAATTTGGCTTGGATCAAACTCTGGCAAAGGCCAACTTTAAAGACAAAAAAAGGTCCATTAGTTACTCTAATAAATATTCCACATAAATTCCTAGAAATAAAACCCTAAGTTGTATTATTGCTAAAGAATATATAGAACTACTTTTTATTAAATACCACCATTTAGGACTAAAAACTTATATAGCAATGACATTGTAGGTTAAAAAGTAAAAACAAAAGTTGTAGCAAGTGTATACAATATAGTCAACCCATTTGAATCTAAAAATGGTTAACCTAATAAGAATATGTGACTATATTTAATACAATGAAAATACACATTGCTTCATGGCATGAACCCAGATGGCATAATATTAATCCATATTTTTAGACAGTTTTGATTCTTTATATAGAAATGTAAAGACAGAAACAGTTTTCAGATTAAAGAATAGCAGCTAAATACTTATAATAAGAAAAACAAAAAAAAGTGATGACCAAATGCAGTGGAAATTCTCATACAAAGCTGGTGTGAGTAAAAACTGGCTCACTCTTCTTAGAGAATAGTTTTTTTAAATCTATATAATAAATAGACAAAATCTAATATAACTGATTTTTAAGTTTTACCAGCAATTTCATTCCATTCCATTATATCAGAACCTTCATAAAAGTACTGTTATGGAACAATACAAATGGTTCCTCAAGAGTAGAATGGATAAACATATTATGGTATATTCAGACTGCAAATATATATATTCAGACACAACAAATACGATGAATGAACTAGACAAAAACACAGACCGACCCTGAGCAAAAAAAATCAGACAATGACATACTCTCAAACACACAACACACATACCCACCCAGCATTACTGTATTTTTCCATTTACACAAGGTTCAAATCAGGTAAAGTTTTAGGTAGAGAAACATATTTAGTTTTTAAAACTATAAGGAAAACAAAGGAAGTGATGGTTTCAAAAGTCTGGTGAGTGGTTACCTCTCAAGATAAGGTTGGGAAGTGATGGCAGTATAACCAGGAGGGAACACAGCAGGTAGACTGGAGCACTGTGTTCTATTTTTAGTCTGGACAGTGCTTACCTCAATATTCACTTTAGAGTACAAAAAAGGCCACTGCATTTTTTATGTACTTTTATATATGCATTCTTTGTCACAATTAAAAAAATTAATGAAGTGAGTAAGATAAGGGAGTAGAGAGAAAGAGAACACAATGAACTATATGGTGGAGATACTAACTAGTGAGCTGAACACACTATAACTGATGGGACAGGTGTTAACACATAGGAGAACACCCATTCCTGGAGCTGTTTGTTGTTAGTTATGTCAGGCTAAACGGTCAATTCCTCACAATCCATCAGTTACAACTCTTGATTGGGTTCCTTCACCTCCTTAAGAGAACCTTAACCCTAACTTCATCAATGCATCTTAGGCGACCCATAATTGGCAATGTAAAACATCTTCATTCCAAATTCTTGACAGTAAATACAATTTTAGCTTTCTCCTGTCTAATCCTTAGTAAATGTTTGTGTTAGGAACTGACTTACTAAACTGTGGTTTGCTGTTGTGTGAAGGAAACTATAAAAGAACACACCAACATAGAATGAAAATCAGGAAAGAGGTCTTATGGAAACTAGAAGGGCATTTTAGAGAGGAAGAAATACCATGGCAGTCACTAAAAAGCATCCATTAGCTTCAGAAACAAAGAAATCATTGGTGACCATGACAAGGATACTTCTAAGGAATAAAAAGTACAACGAGTCAGATTGCAGAGGACTGAAGAACAGAGAAAATAGTGAATTTAAGACAAGTGTCAAGGAAAGAAAGAAAAAGAATCCTGGAGTGATAGCTATTTTGCTATTAAATAGGACACATCTGAACATATTTACATATTGATGACAAAGATTATGAAGAGGAAGGGAGATGGTGACTGACAAAGCAAGGCATCTGAAGAAGTGGAGTTGGATAGGTATAGAGTACAGGTCAAAGGATTAGTTTCAAAGAGAAGAAAGGATAATCCTTTCTAGAATTGGAAAGAAAGGAGGCAAAGATGGACATGGATACAGAAAGAAATGTAGATATTAAGGTAAAATGCTGAGAAAATTCATTCTAAGAACACTATTTTCTTTGTAAAGTAGATGAAGAGAAATAAAGGAAAGGTTGTAAAATGTGGGAATAGCAGAGAGTAAAAAACAGAACAGTGATATGGGGAAAAAATACGCTGACTAGGAAACATAAGGTTTCTGGGCAATGCTGGAAGTCTACAAGTTTAAGACTATGAATATGTACCTGCCACAAACTACACAGTTAGGTCATTTTCTCTAGCAAACACTCCTCTTCAATTTGGATCAGACTGAGCCAACTAAGGACTTTGATAGGGAGATAGGACAAAAGCAAAGGGGAGCCTTGGAAATAGAGCAAAAGACAAAAAATAGCTGGAATGATGGATAGGAGAATCTATGCTATTCAGATAAGAAAGTGAGGAGGGGGAAGCTAACAGATTAGAAGACAATGGAGGCGGGGGGGGGTGGTCAAAGTGCTGAAATAAGATGAACAGCTATAGTGGGGACGCAGGGAGATAAGAAAGAAGAAACCACAGTCCTAGGGTAGAATACTAGACTTAAGATTTTAGAGGCAGAATAGTTCCTTCATTCATTCATTTAATACAGATACGTGCCTACCATGAACAAAGCACTGGTTAGGGCAAGGTAAGTAAGAACCTGCTCTAGAAGCAAGAAATGGTAGTGGTAAAGTAAAGAAAAAAAATAGACATGATAATTCCAGGTAAGTAGCTGATGAAATAAAGAAATCTAAATAGGGAATCAATAAACTGTGACAGATGTTTTAGTAAGAGGATGGTGTGTGAGTCAGCGAGGTATATTCATTTTTATGTGACTATATGTAGAAAACTTTCTGAAAAAAATGAAAACTTAGGCTTTGCTGGATGTGAGGTATTCCAACAGACCTTGAACGAGTAGTGGCCACCATCTCATTCATCCAACCCCCTGGGATCTCCAAGACACACAAAGAGTAACAGCTAAATTCCTTTGCAAAGATGTAGAAATGTTCACAATCCAGCCCTAATCTACCTTTCCAGACATACTTCACATTACCCATAATATCAACACAGTGATCTTCTCAAAGGTGCAAAGACACACCAGACAATTTCAGTTCCATGCCCTTGTGTAAGCTACTACTTCTACCTGAAATATCCTCAACCACCTTAGCAAAACTCCCATTCATTCTTAAAGATCTAGTTTAAATCTCACCTCCAGGGAAGCCTTTACTAATTCTGCCAGCAATGCCAACAGTTAGTTGCTGACTTCTGAGATTACACTTACTTTAGGTTATAAATCTAGCAGTATTTTCCACACTGTACTTTATCTGTTTACATGCCAGTTTCCTCCACTAGAAAGAAAAGCTCCCTGTAGGCAAAGCTTACTCATCTTTGAATTCCTAGATGCAAGCACATTAAATAAGTAAAACTACATAACCCTATGTAAAGGTTAGCACTACAGGAACTAAATAAATTGTTTCATAAGTACATAAATTGAATTATCATAGTCCACAATCTGAAAAAAAAAACTTTCTTTAAAAAGCTAAAAAGGCATGTCCATCAACTGATGAATATTTTAAAAAGTGATATAAAAATGTCATAGAGCCATAAAATGGATATTATATGGCTAAGAAAAGGATACAAGCTACAACATGGATGAACCCTGACAACATAACACTAAGTGAAAAAAGCCAGACACAAAAGACCACATTATCGTATGATCCCATTTATATGACCTATCCAGAGTAAACAAATCCATTGTGACAGAACAGGAGGGGTCGGGGAGTGGAGAGAGCATTTACAGAAAAACGTATGGAGTTTCTTCATAACAACTCCATTTCTATTTCATAGGTGAGAAAACTAAGGCAGGGAGAAATTAAGTAACCTGCCCAAAATAACACTGCTACCTACCAAAAATGGCAAAGCTGGGTTTAGATTCCAGATAGTATGTCTCTGGAGTCCAGGATTTTAATGATTATTCTGTACTATCAATTAAGCAGGAAATACTACCTAAAGCTAACCATTCTCTTCCCTAAAAGAAGAAAACAGCATGTGTTGTAATTCTTAGTGATTCCAGCTCAGGAGTGTGCAGTGAAGCAACAAGCAGAGCTACAAAGGCAGGCTGGTGCCAGATCAAAACTCAGAAGCATTTCAGACAAACACAAAAGAACATCATCATTCAGGTAATGAGTAAACAAGGGTGTTAAACAACAGGTGACAAGATCATTTGTGCATTTTAGAAAATCACGTTGACAGAAACTTGGAGGAGTGACTAGAGTGGTTAGTCTAGAGATAAGAATATTGTTATAAACTGAACCAAAGAACAGCAGTGAAGACAGAAAGAAAGAGACAGAGATAGGACATGAGAGACTGTAGATTGGGAATGAGGGAAGCGGATGGCTGACTCTCACATTTCCAATCTGATGAAAATAAATACCATTAACCAAGGTGGAGAATACAGGGGGAAAGCAAATTTGAGATAAGGACGTTAACGGATTTAAGGGGCCTGAAACACAGCTTCAGAAAAAATGTCCAAAAGATTGATGAAAAAACGGTCTGGGGCGTAAGAAAAAAACAGAGTTATAAACACAGAGTTATTGACACATAGTTGGCAGTAAAATCATCCGGGGAGAACATATTAATTGAAGAGAGAAAAAAAAGTGAAGGACCAACAAACTAGAATTTAGGACACAGCAATATTTTAGGGACAGAGAGAAAAGCAGAGAAACCAGGGAGGATCAGTAAAGACAGACCACTAGCAAGAAAAGAGAAAACCCATGGTAAAATGTTATTTCAAAAGTTAAGATTAAAAAAAAAAAAGCTAAGCAAGATGAAGATGAAGAAAGGAATACTGTGCAGTATCAAAGCCCAAAATTTATAAAGACTAAAAGTGTCCACGGGATTTGGCAATTTGGGGATCCTTGGTACTCTTGCAAGAACCACTTCAGTAGAGAAGTGGGGTGGGGGGACTCACACACCAATGGCAAAGGC